AGACTTGGTGTTGGACTGGTTTCTGGCTGAGTGTCAGGTGGTTTTAGATGATTGTCTTTCTGCTCTGAAACCCAGGAAGCATGCTGATGCTTTACGGGACAGAGGTCTCCTTGGATCAGGACTTGGAGCGCCACAGAGTCGGACGTTCTCAGACGTGGCCGGCCTCCAGACCGCCGGCTGGACGCTGGACGGTTTGCTCACCTGTCTTCTGTGTTCTCTCAGGACTACATGCAGAACGTCCACGGGAAGGAGATCGACCTGCTGAGGACCACGGTGAAGGTTCCTGGCAAACGTCCTCCTCGAGCTGTTTCCACCTGCGCCGCCGTGCCGAGTCCCAAAACCAACGGCCTGACCAAGGACATGAGCAGCCTGCAGCTGGGACAGAATCCAGGTGAGACCAGAACCACCTGAAACCCTCACACAGAGAACGAGGCGGGTTTTTGCGTCTGAACATCAATATTCGAAGGTGTTCTGACCTAAAACAGGAAGTTTGTGCAGTTAGATGAAACTTCAGCCAAACAGTCGTTGGACTTTTTACCACGTGTTGAATCCAAGACGAGCTTTTCAGCACCAGGCGTCGTAAAGAGGTCCGGTTCAGGTTCCTCAAAAACTCACAGAGAACATTAAATAGACGTTTAGTTGGAATTATTATTTTGCACCTTTTGGATAAAGTTGGTTTTGTTGTTATAAAAATCAAAGTGACCTGAATCTGTTCATGAGTTACACTTTAAATGGTCGGATCTGAACATCGTTCACCGTCAACACCAGGAGTCGCCACCGTCAGGTCGCTTACTGGAGACCGGTTTCAGACTTGCTTTAAACCAGTTTTTAAATGGTTCCGGACTGCTTTTATACTGGTTTTAAAACTTGGTTTTGGACTGAGTTTAGGCTTGGTCTGGACTTAGTTTGCACCTAGTTTTTGACTAGTGTTTAAGACTTGGTTTTGAAACCATTTAAGACTGGGTTTTACTGGTTTTAAATTAGTTTTTAGAATTGGCTTTAAACTGCTTTTGGACTTGGTTTTGAACTGGTTTTAAGCTGATTTTGGAGTTGGCTGTAAAATTATTTTTAACTGCCGTTAGACTTGGTTTTAAACTAATTTTAGACTTGGCTTTGAACTGATTTTAAATTGCTGTTAGACTTGGTTTTAACCTGGTTTCTGACTTGGTTTTAACCTGGGTGTGGACAGGTGGTAAAATGGTTTAAACTGGTTTGAATGGATTCAAACTGGTTTGGACTTAGTTGGGAAGTGAAATAAGACAAATAAGGTTGTAAATATATAAAAAACTGAAAGGATGTTGAAATAAATATGGGAGCACAGTTCAGTTTGATGAATAGAAACGCGGCGACACGTTCGTCCTCCATAAACAACGTATTCAAACGTGGCGTAAACAGGTTGAAACAGATCAACACAATCACCTCATTATGCCGTCACGTTTATTTCCTAATTGTGCCGCTAATCGCTGCTGCTGTTCTTTCATCGTAAACGCCGGCGTGTTTCCTGAATCAATAAAGGTTGATTGAAAGAGGAGCTGCGACAATAAAAAACAGGAGTGGAGCCTTGAAGCGCTGCTCATCACCTGGAGGAAGACGTCGTAAAACAAAAGGTGCAGAGCGCCGCGGCGTCGCCGGCAACGCACACACATGGCCGGGCTTAAATCAAACACACACACACTGGGATCCAGGAGGCCCGAGCTAATAGCATGAATATTCAGTGAGCCGTACTCCATGTACTAATTATTGTCATGAATATTAATGCAATCAGAGTCGTGGCTCCGTTCAGGCAGCACCAAGAAATGAGCTGTAATGAGGCTGGGGGAGGCGGGGGAGGCGGGGGATGATTCACCCGCCTGCTGCAGCCTCTTACCAACTCGAGGGTTTGATTTAAGCAGCCAGCTTGTAAGAGGCCTTTTATGGCTCCCCAGTGTTTGGAGGGCCGAACATGTGGACGCATGCGCCGCGACAACAGGCCGCTCTGGAAGCGTGTTTGATGCCTCCACAATCCATCAGAGACACAAAGCCGCTGCTTCGACCGCCGCGCGAAAATAATGACCGTTATCTCCAACATGAGCGTAAATCAGCTGAAAGGAGGACGATGTGCCGCACAGCCGAGAAAACCAGCGACGCTGACGGAGCTGTCGTCCAGACGAAAAACGCTTCTTAGCCTCTTGAGCCTGAAACTAGGTTGGACCAAAGTCCGTCATTTAGCTCGTGTACATGTTGGTCACATGTGCTGAATCACATTCTGTGTGGTCTAAAAAGGTCATGTCAAGACACAAAAGCTAACTGTGAGGCTAAAGTCAGAGAATGACAGCTAACCCCACAGCTAAAGGTAGAGAAGGAAGCTAACCACACAGCTACAGTCATGAAAAGAAGCTAACTACAAGGCTAAAGTCAGAGAACATCAGTTAACTACACAGCTAAANGTAGACTGGGTCTAAACTGGGTCTCAACTGGTCTCAGACTGGCTTTAAACTGGGTCTAATCTGGTTGTAGACTGGGTCTAAACTGGGTTTAAACTGGTTGTAAACTGGCTTAAACTGGCTTTAAACTGGGCTTAAACTGGTTGTAGACTGGGTTTAAACTGGTTTCTAGTTGGGTTTTGGACCACTTTGAATGTAGCTTTAGACCAACTTCAAGCTGGTTTCAGACAGATTTTACAATGGTTGTGGACTGGTTCATGGACTGGTGCTGGTTGTAGTTCTGAATTGGTTCTATACTTGGTTTTAGACTGGGTTTAAACCTGATCTTAGACTTAGACAACTTTATTGTCACTCAGGATGCACAGGTGCACATTGAACAGGATCTGGAAAATATGAATAATCAGACTGGTTTTACTGGGTTTTGGTCTGGTTTTGGGCTTTTTCTAGATTCGATGTGGGACTGGTTTTACATCAGACTAGGTTTTAGACTGGTTCCAGACTTGGTGTTGGACTGGTTTCTGCCTTTGCTTTGGATTAATTTTGG